CCTCTTTCCCACCCTCTTTCCCACCCTCTTTCCCCCTCTTCCCACAATCTTTCCCACAATCTTTCCCACCCTCTTTCCCACCCTCTTTCCCACCCTCTTTCCCACCCTCTTTCCCACCCTCTTTCCCACCCTCTTCCCACCCTCTTTCCCACCCTCTCTCCCACCCTCCTTCCCACCCTCCTTTCAACCACCCCTTACCCCCCTTATTTATTTCCTCCTTCATCTGCTTTTTTGTTTCTCAGCACTGGTGCTAATGCTGGAATACTCAATTTGCTGCTCCTGTCGTTGCTGCCTCCCCCCTTACTGACCTTGCTTCTCTTCTTCCTGACTCTTCTTCCTCCTGTGTCGTCGTCTTCGATTCCATGTTTACAGGAGAAGTGGATAGACAACCTCGTCAATGCCCCTTCCGTCGAGACCCAGTATGAGATCTGGTCAGTACCCTGCGGTGCAGTGCAATGCAGTGCAGTGCGGCGTTGTGCAGTGTTTTGAGGTGCCGTGTGGCTCCATGCTCTGCGATGTTGCATGTGCTGAGCTAACGCCAGCAAAAATCCTTTTCAGATTCTGAGATATACAGGACCAACACCATGCTCCCCTCCCTCCATTCCGTCCCACTCCCTTCACTCACACCCACAGGACCAACTCGATTGGCCGATGGCTCACGAGGGCCAACATGTTTGCGCGCATCTTTGGCTTCTTCTTCACCAACCGCGTGGTGCTCTGGTTCTGCGCCGGCATCGCCCGCGGCCAGCTGCGCCTCATCCGCAAGGAGGACACACGTGTACCGCTATGTCGTCCGATGCCTCGACTCCGTGGGCAGAGACCACTTCCCTGCGTGACAGGTGAGGCTCCTGGCTATTGTGCATGGGGCAGGAGGGAGGGTGGGTAGAGCAGGGGGCAGCTGCGCCTCATCCGCAAGGAGGGCAACGTGTACCGCTCTGTCGTGCGCTGCTTGGACTCAGGGGCTGAGACCACTTCTCTTCGTGACAGGTGAGGCTTGTGTGGCGTCCTGTGGTTAGTGTATGGCTGTTGGACATACTGGGGGTGGGGAGGGCAGGGGCTAGCTGCGCCTCATCCGCAAGGAGGACAACGTGTACCGCTACGTTGTGCGCTGCTTGAATTTGGTGGCAGATGCCACTTGCCCCGGCAGGTAAAGGTTGAGATCGTGTACCACTGGTACCACTGGGCCCGCGCTGCCCTTACTTGGTGACAGGTGAATACAGTGACGGTTGGTGTAGTGTGCGCGCAAGCGGAGAGAACGTGTGTCACTGCTATATCGTGCACTGCTTGCACTTTGTGGCTGAAGCGTTGCCCCCTTCTCTCTTTTCTCTCCCCCCCCTTCCCCCCCCCCCCCCCCCCCCCCCCCCCCACCCCCCCCCCCCCACAGCACTCTATCTACCGCTGCTGCCTGAACGGTCCATTCTCCGCAACTGCTGCCCGCAGCTTCCTGCGGAGACCGGCCTTTCACAAGCTCAAGGTGGTTATGGGCTAGGGACCTGATGTGGGGGGCACAGGGCTTGGGATGACTCTCACGTGCTAGGCAAGTCAGGCGGGTGCAACTGCTGCCCGCGCTTCCTGCAGGAGCCCTGCTTCAACAAGCTCAAGGTGGGTACATGGCGCAGGGCTTGAGGTTCAAACGTTAACCAGGTCTTATGGTGTAGGGGATATTTTTTCTAAGCAGGGTTTGATGTCGAGGGATAGAGGCAAAGCATATGCTCATGGTAGGATTAGGATCTATGTGGGGAGGCCTGTTTTTGTGGTGAAACGAGCAGCCCTTGCCTTCATGCTTCTTCACACCAAAGCAGGGTTGATTCACTCAGCTTGCCCTCCTGCCACTCTTCAGCCTTCTACTGCATGCGTCCAAGCCTGGCCCTAATCTCCTCATGCTTCTCATGCATCTCCTTCCGCTAATGCCTTCTCCTGCCGCTCACCTCTCATTTCCCGCTCCCGTGTGCTTCTCGTCCCCTATCTCACCCCCTCTACTGCCTCTTTCTCACCTCTGGAACTACCCTCTCGGCAAACATTCCTGTTGGAGTAACAGACGGAGCTTGCCGCCCGGGACTGCATGCTGATCTCGACGTCCTTCTTTGTGGAAGAGCTGCGAAGCGCGCATGTACACCAAGGTGTGTTCGCGTTGTTACGATTATATGTGTGGCCATGGCATGTACACCAAGGTGTATTGCAGTTTGTCTTCAAGCCGTGGACAGACCAGCTCATTTTTTCTAACTATGCGGATTTGTTCCTTTCAAAGATGAGTTTGAAGCTTAGGGAACAGCTTGCCAGACTGCTGAATCTCTGACTCCTCTCTACTCTCACCTACGGACCCCATTCCACTGTTGAATTAGTGCTCTTCACTTTGTTGTTCTGCTCGCACCGCTCCTCATCCCCTCCTCACCTTCCCTCGCCTCACCCCTCAATCGCCTCACTCTTGCTTTCCCCACTCCCCACTCACCTCCCCAATTCCTGCCAGGTCATTCTGATGGACCATGTGGATTGGCTGGGGCAGCGTGACATTGACACGCTCTGCGATTTTTCCTTATATTAACTAACTCATCTCTGGCAATTCTACCCTATCGCTGCTCGCCTCCCCCACTCCCCGGCAGGTCATTCTGATGGACCACGTGGATTGGCTGGGGCAGCGTGACATTGACACGCTCTGCCAAGCACTCAGGGACCAAGTCAAGGTGAGTCCAGGCAGCAAGGGTTTCAGGTTTGTGTAAGGTTGAGAGCAGTTAAGCCATGAGCCAGTCATTGGCTTGTGAGGCACTAGTTCCCAATTTGCGTCCCATCACTCCCCTGCAGGAGCTTGTTTCCACTACGTGCATATATTCTGCAGATCAGTGCATCTCTCTAGTCAACATTTCTTCCTCTCCCCAGTGGCGCCTATCTTTGTGTTCAACCCTTTCCACTTCTTTCTCCCCATTCCTTTCATCTTTGTTTCCTCCCACCATCCTCTGCAGCCTGGAGGCCGTGTCATCTGGCGCAGTGCGTCGCGCAACCCCGAGTATGCCAAGGACATCGAGAAGGCTGGATTCAAGGGTAAGAGCTGGAGAGTGTGGCGTATGACTTGAAAGGTATGTCGCATGGTGCAGTGTGTATTATGGAACCCCGAGTATGCCAAGGACATTGAGAAGGCTGGATTCAAGGGTAAGAGCTCGAGAGTGCTTTCTTTGGGGTATGACTTAGGGGCAAGCTCACTGGGATGTTGAGGTGACCAAGAAGTTCCTTTCTTCCTCCAGCATTTCACGATCAGCCCCATCATGTTCCCCCTCCCTCACCCTCCCCAACCCCATCCCAAATCCCATCCTCTCCCAACTTCCTAGGTCCCCCCTTAGCTATCATCTAAATTTTGCCTTTCTCCTGCCCTTCCAATGGCAGTGGTGCAAGTGCGCTCCATCACACAGCAGCAGTACATGGACCGAGTCAACATGTACGCCAGCTTCTACGTCGCAATCCGCAACGGAGGCCCCGAGAACATCCAGATCTTCAATGAGCCGCCCAACCCTCTTGCCCTCACCAATGGCACTGATGCTGCTGCCCCCACCGCTAGCTCCTGATTCTTGGATGAAGCCTCTCGCTTTTGACTCAAGGTTGAATAGGAATCGTAAGTTGTATTGTTAACGCGCATACCGTGGATGTACTTCTCAAGGTTTTGAGTCAGAGTGTACTATCATAATCAAGAATGATCATTATCGATATGTTTTTGAGAAATGAGAAAAATGAACAACAGCAGCAATCATACGCATTCATAGTGTATACGCTCCCAGTACTCCACGCGTACAGCATCATTGCAAGCAATCCATGACACGACCCAGAAGTGAAGGAAAGGGGGGTGTGTTGCTCCTCTGTTGCAGCAATTTGTGATTTCGAGCGTGCCGAAATCCAATTCGTCAATGAAATTGGTTCGTCGCACATGTCTCGACCACGTAGGCATTTTGAAATATTCCAACCAATCAGTGATCTAAAATGACCGCACCCATCATTGAACATAGTTGCGCTTCGACACGTCACAGTCGTTCACGAACTACGCAAACATTTTGATAGGCGCGATACAGCGGCTTGGACATTCTTCCCGCCCAAATCCCAGGTGAGTGCAGGAAGCAGTGCTGCTGTATTCCTCTTGTCTTACAGGCGAAGGAATTCGCCCCGCTGACGATGCACCAGCAACAGCTGTCCATATATAGTAGGCTCAATGGCATACTGCTCATTCATCTCAATCATCCACCTCAAGCCACTGAATCTTTACTAGCTTCTAATTCCAAATATTTGCAAACGGAATATCTGATACCCGGTTTCTGAAAGTGGTGGTGCTGATCTCCCCCGTAAGTCTCAAACATGGCTCTCGCTCTTTCCCACCCAGCTTCCGCTCTACTCGGAAGCTCCGCCAAGTCGACGATTTCGCTAATTGGGGAACGGAACCTTGTTAATAGATCACTCCCCGCTGCTGGCATGCCGTTCGTCCGCTGTCAAGCGCCGCCCACCGCAGTCGCGCCATCTCCCACTGTCGCACGAGCCCCTTCCGTCGCACGCGCGCCCCCCGTCGCACGAGCGCCCACCGTCGCACGACCGGCCACCGTCAAGCCAGCGCCCACCGCACGACCGGCCACCTTCAAACCAGCGCCTACCGTGTCGTCATCGCCCACCATCGCGCCGTCATCCGCCGCCTCGGCGCCAACCTCGGACACCATGGTCGCTGTATCGGCGCCGTTTTCCACGCGACGCGCCGAACGTGCGGAGCCAACCTCCGAGTCGCCATCGTCTGCAATCTCGCCATCGTCCGCTATCTCGCCATCCTCCTCCGCGATCCCCGCGCCCCGCACCAAGCAGCACAGTGCGTAATATATTTTCGAAGCTCGTCGTCTGGCGTTAATGACTGGTTGAATTCGCGGTCAGTACTCCTACCATTGCCCCGTTTGCATCTCCCTCCGTCGTTGCTTACCGTCGTTTTTACTTCATTGCAGAAAAATCGCCATCGTCCGCGCGCCGCCGGAACGTACCCACAAGCTTCGCTCCACCGCCCGCCGCGCTGCGATCCGGAGCAGCCATGGCGGACTGCCTCATGTCGTACAGCCGCATGCTTCACCTCATGCCCGGCCGTAGCCGCGATCTCGTCGCCGCCGGTGCCGGCGTCTTGGCGCACGTGTTGGAGTCTCTGCGGACCCTGCTCGATACGAACCAGGTACGTGCTCCCTCGCTTGCTGTGATTGTTGCGTGACGTTGATTTGTTTTCGGGATGATTGGGTGACATTCCTACGGACGCTGTTCATGGGTTTCTTTGAATTCACCCGCCGATTCTCCGTTTGTGATTTGCTTATGCTCTACAGGTGAAGGGGGTGGAAGCCGAGCGGCTGCTATTTGAGGTGGAGAGGGATTTGGGCTGCCTGCAGTTCGAACTTGCCGTGTCTCCTGAGGCCTTCCCCGTGCAGACAGTGCGCTTGCAGTGCGCACACGCTGCCCGTGTTCTCCGCTCCGTGTGAAGTAGATTTAGGAACTTGCGTTCGCGAGATAGGGAAATGAGGAATGCAAGAAAAAAAAGAATCATCTCGGGTTTGTGTAATATATCGTGTACAAATTCTGTACATAGTCTTAATATTATGACTCTTTTAATGAATGCTTTTCTGTTGGTATATTCGTTCAACAAAATCATCTCTCTTGGTAACTTGGTTGTAAAAACAGCCATGGCAGCACCAGAATATGATTGTACACAATGCACATGATAACTATAATATTTTCTGAGCTCAGTACGTCAGCCTGGAACTAGTTCACAAACGTACAAGAATATATATATAAACCAGCAATCTGCAATGAACAAATTAAACGCCCTACTGTGATTACCAAAAAACTTGGAAAGACATGATGTTGACTTCCAACATAGTTACCCAGTTACAAACCCCTCAAGGTCAAGTCGTGGATCTCCCTCCTCAATCATATCATCCTCGTTCATCAGAAACCCAAACTCGTTCTCCTTGCTCGCCGCCCCTGAGCTGCGTCTCAACCGAGAGTTCTCCTCCTCGTTGATGCTCGACGCCCGCCGAGACAGCGGCTCACCCTCCGACCCAACCCCCCTGACACCGCTCCCCTCTCCTCCCTTGCTGCTGCTTCGAGAAAGTGACGAATTGGTTTTCTTAACCGGAGGGTCGTAAGAGCTCGAGGGTTCTCCAGTAGGAGATTGAAGAATAGCTGCATTTGGATCGTCGTCCAGGTCATGGCGAATGCTCACACAACTGTCTCTCCCTTGATTCTAGAGGCGGCGGCGGCAGCAGCAGCGGCCGCTGCAGCAGCAGCAGCTGCTGCTGCTGCCGCTGCCGCTGCTGCTGCACCTGCTGGCGTATCGGTAGACTCAGCCGCCCCTGCTGCTGCAGCAGCACCAGCAGACCCTCCAACTGCCACCCCACTGATCAACCCCCCAGCAGAAGAAGCAGAGGCGTCAGCTGCTGCAACAGACCCACCAACAGCACCTGTAGCAGCAGCTGTAGTGGCACCAGCGGCACCCGCAGCAGCGCCGGGAGTGATGGAGGCGAAGAGGTTGGCAAAGCGGCGCTCTGAGGCGGTGGCTTCGGCTGTGAGGAGTCCCGTGCGGCCCGAGCTGAAGGTCTGCCTCATGCTACGCGCATTCTCCATCTCCTTGCCTGAGGGGGGAAGGATTGCACGTGGGGGTCGGGAGATGTGAGTGGAAGAGGTGAAAGGGAGTCGGGGTAAGGTCTAAAGAAACCGAATATAGAAGGGGGCGAGCACAGGATATAGGCCCCTTGGAAAATAGTGGGAAGCAACTAAAAAACAAGGGATTTCTTCTAGACCCAGTATATTACAGAAGAAGGCCATACCTGCTGGAACGAAGGTGCGGGTGCGGTAGTGCTGCGGCTTGTCCTGCGACCCATCGCTGTACAGCACATAGTCATGGTACGTTGGAGCGAACTGGTGAACCGTGTCGCTCACCACATCCCCCATATTGACAGAATGCTTAAACGCGGAAATCAGCGCACCCCTCTGCTCCTCAGTCATATTCGCCAGGCCCAACCCTGGCGATGAGGAAGATGATAACTCCCTGCATGAGAGGGATTTGGGAGCGGCCGTGTGGGAGGGGGAGGGGAAGATTATATGGTTAGATGGGTATGATATGGTATGGCAACGAGGAAGGTGATGATGCTGTGAATGGAAGGGATATGGAGGAGTGTTGAGGGAGGGGGGACGGGGAAACTGGGATGGGGGAACGATGGCTACTCAGCCGTGATTTAGGCGATGAGAAAAGATGCTATGCCAGACGAGAAACGGACGACTGATTCGACCATGAAAGACTCGATCGCGGGGGGAAAGGGAAAAATGGGAGAAGGAACTTGGGAACGAGAGGGAGAGAGAGGGGTGGGTGGGGAAGGTTGGGAGAAGGTTTCGGGGTGGAAGAGTGGGGTGGGAAGGGGTGTACATGCCAGTACGTGAGGAAGATGACGGCCATGAGCATGACGAACTTGGGGATGGGGTTGAAGGCGAAGGAGAGAGAAAGGGGAAAAGGGAAATGAGAAGCGGGAGGGGGAAAGTTGGGGTTGGAAGAAGGGGGGGAGGGGGTAGTTTCAGGGATAAGAGGGGCGTACCTGCCAGTAGGTGAGGAAGACGACGGCCTTGATCATGAGGAACTTGGGGATGGGGTTGAAGGCGACGGAGAGAGAAAGAGGTAAGGGAGAAATGGGGAGGACGGGGGCGCGGGGGGGGGGGGTAGGTTGGTGTTGCAGGGATAGGAGGGGCGTACCTGCCAGTAGGTGAGGAAGACGACTGCTTTGATCATGAGGAACTTGGGGATGGGGTTGAAGGAGGTGAGGAGGTCCTTGCAGGCGACGTAGAAGAGGATGAGCGCGTAGATGGCGATGGAGTAGGAGATCATGTACACGCACGTGATGTACAGGTACGAGTCAAACGCGCTGAAGTTGCCGTCGTTGTACAGCCCGTACGAGTAGAGGATGAGCGAGAGCGCCGCCAGGATGGGTTTGAGGAACACGAACTGCAGGCAGCCCTGCTTGCAGCGCCGGATGAATCGGCTGGAGGGGAGAGGAGGGGGAGGGTCCGGGGGTGTTGGGGGGAGGTTGAATGGGAGAAAGAGACGTGAGAATTCAGAGTCGATACTGAGGTCACTACGGAGAATGGGACGACGGGAGACAAGGAGACGAACCGGTGTTCATCCAAGTGTGGTGGACACCGAACTGGTGGACGGAAGGGATGCACGCAACGCTTGCACAAGTGAAGTGACTCTCGAGAAATCTCTAAAGTAATTTTCATGTTTCTGGTGGATGGAAGGGATGCACGCAACGCATGCACAAGTGAAGTGAACCCAAATCAGCTTGCGGCCATCCGAAGAATTGAAGCGCACAACCTACCCGTGCGGGTGCCGTGCAAGTCACCCGCGCACTAGGCAGCAGCTTACCCGTCGAGCGGCATGGGAGGCAGGCAGCAGGTGCCGAGAACGATGGACGGCTTGAGCACGCGACCAGCGAGCACAAAGCTCAAATAGTGACTCCAAAATAGCCTACTCATGCGATTCCCCCTTGCCTCCCATTCCCCGCTCCCATCCCCCCGCGCGCGCTAGCGAGCGGCTTACCCGTCGAGCGGCATGGGAGGCAGGCAGCAGGTGCCGAGAACGATGGACGGCTTGAGCACGCGACCAGCGAGCGACGTCACGACCACTCCGGGACCCCCCACCCACGCCAGACACAGCGACAGGAAGTTGTAGATCACCCATGCCTCATAGCTGGGGTTGATTATAAGGGGTATAAGAACAAGTCACGGGGACGAAGTTACGAATTGAGAAAGGCGAATGGACAGCGAGAAAGCGGAGAGAAATACGGCAACTTCGGTATTGACTTTAAAAAAGGAAAATATCAGAGGTGCTTGACATCTACAGAATGAACAAAGATCCAAAGGTAACCAGCAGGATTGTTTCACTTACACGTCTCGGATGGTGTTGAAATACATCGCGTACTCGCTAAAAGCTAGCGCGAAGAATGACATGGTCGCATACACCTGCAGAATTCAACCAAAGCCCCATTGATTAAGCCGTTAGCGCGAGGCAGCAAACGGTTTGGTTTGAAGTAGTCTGAAGTGCAACACAAGTAAATCTGCAACGGGAACCAATCCCTTCATAACACTATGATTTAGGAACCGACATGCTGGTTTGAGCTGGGATCAGCAAGACACAGAGTTTCCCAAGACTTACTGGAACCATGAAAATGATTCGGACGATGTACCGTTGAAACGTCGGCTCCGTATAATTCTGTAGATGTTGGATAATATGCCGTACGGATAAAAATACAGCTACGAGGGTGCATACTAGGGCTATAATTACCCCAACGAACCATAGTACCCAATCCATAGGCGCCAACTAGAAGAACGTGATGGAGAGAGTAGGATGACTGGATCACAGAGAAACGTCCTACGCTTGCCCTGACAAGGTGGGCCGACAATGGCGAACACGGCTCGAAACTAGGATGCACACTTCATCGCAAGTTCATCCTAACTCGCAACACCAAAGAAGAATCCTTGGAGTAACAGATTCAGGTGCCTGTCTGCTTCAGACCACTTGAGCGGACCGAAACCAGACCTAAACTACGGATACGATGAGAGTAAGTTTGCTCAATACAGCTCGACTGATAAAAATACTGACGTTAACTGGCCTAAGGCCTCTAAAACAGGGTCCAGAACAGAACACAGCAGGTGGCGATTCTCACGACGCCTTGCTAAAAATCTGGAGAACCTAGGGATTCAGGCAAGACTGATTGATGCAGCTGAAAAGCAGTAGCGGAATACGAAGATGGGGAATGGGGATGGGGGAGGGAGGCGAGAAAAGCAAGGCACCCAGGAGGATGGGATTGAAGGGACACAGAAGACTGCAGGCGACACGTCCGAGGCTCATCCGAGGCTCTTCCAAAGCTCTCCCAGGGCTATTCTCAGAGGTCCCTCAAACTTGTCGAAGCAATTTTGAGGTTCCGGTGAGCGCGGTGTGACAGGCGGACGCGGTGGGTTGCGGCGATAGGCAGGATGACGAAACACGCCGAGCACAAATGCTCGTAACGCTAAACCATGTGTGCGAAGGCATGACGAGGAAGTAACGTTTCGCAAATTTCAATGAACACTTCACGAAATGTCAGTCTCAAGGTTGTTGCAGAAGCCGGCACAGGAAACCAACGGCCATGTGGAGCGCAGACAGTTCATCATACAATCTACGCGAGGGTGGGTGGTTGTTGCATGGTTTCGTGTGGTCTGAACGGCGGACCTAGGTAGCACCGCCACAAACTCGCCAAGCTTACCGTTGGAGTTTGTCTTCAGTTTAATAGTCATCGATTGCGGCCAGGGTGGGGTTCAAAGTGTACAAGAACCTGAGTAAACTGCGCAGTCTAATTACGCGCAATCATGAACAGAAAGACAGCCTACCGGTATATTTTCCGTCCTTATCCAAATATATTTGATTGAACATAATACTTATGAACGCGAACCGCGGAATACATTTCTGTAGAATTGTTTCTTTCTAGTTCTGTTTCCGGAGAATTACCACTGATTAATAGATTTTGCACTAAATATGCTGGATGAAATGCCACTGGCATACTTCTGAATCGAAGCAAAGCTTTAGTGAATCCCCTGTGGACGTGTTTCTATACCAGAGCAACCAGGACAGAACCCGCATACGAAAACTACGCTCCACGTCGGCCCGCACCCACAGCCACGTAGGTAGCGCCTCGCCAGGTTGGCAGCGCAAATGCACCAGGCCTAGAATTGTGAATTTCTAATGTGCAGGCAGCTTCCCTTCGGCATTCGAATGCCGATTCACGCAGGCTGGGAGCAAATTCACGCAGCCCGAGCTCCGATCCAGAACCAAGTGACAGAGGGAGGGAGACAGCTGCATCCCCTCCCTCCCATGCTGAAGAGAAGATATTTCACTTCCCACGAAATTACCGTGTTCGCGTCGCACAACTCCAGTTGTCCCTCTGTGTCGTGTCACGTTCATTCACCTCCAATATTCGCAGCCGCAGCAGCTGCACCTCTCGCTTCCTTCCGCCGCACTCTTGCGAGTCGCGGAGCTCTCGGGCTCGGCGCTTGACTCAATAAAAAGAGGCTCCGCCTCCTTTTCATTAATCAAAGCCGAAAATCACTCTCCTACTCTCAGATATTTCCCGCTCCTCTTCTAGCATCAGTTCGTGATACGTTTGTGCAATCAATCCACGCTCTACGACATGGCTCTCTCGTGCAACCAGGCTGCAATCCTGTCCTCCGCCGTTCTCCAAAATGGCCTGACCACAGCATCCCCCGCGTCGCAGCTGAAATCACGAACACTCATTGCACGTGCACTTCCTGCAGTCAGGGCTGAAGCTGCACCCGCCGCCGTCAACCGACCCGAGTCGAATGTCCCCGCCACCCCCGTGCTGCCGTCCGGCGCATCCATGGCGGATTTCCTCGTTACGTTCAGCCGGACGCTGAACCACGCTCCCGGGAACGGCAAGAGCATCGCCGGTGCCGGTCGGGCTCTTCTTTCCCGCGTGCGGAGCGGCATCAGCGATCTTGGCATGGATGTCGACGTGGAGTCGCAAGTGCGGCGACAGTTGCGTGTCGCAGAGGCCGAGCGACTGCTTCTGGCGATCGAGAGCAACCTTGTGGCAATCGCCGTCGACACGTCTCTGGACTCAAACAGCGTTCCCGTGCAGCTGCTTCGCATGCACTGCGCCCAGGCGGCCAGGATTCTTAGAGTGCTGTAGAGTACCGTCATCACGGCTTGTACTTATTAGCTAGGTATTCACTCCCTTCACGTGTGCATACGACGGGGTTCGAAGGGCTTGGCCTTACCAGCCTTCGGGGCAGCGTTTTTTTGCTGTTATGGATTCCATGTATCCAGCCAGTTCAAATCACCCATTTGTTCCATTTGTGTCACTAGTCCAAATTTCCTTAAAATTTCCACACAGTATTTCCAACTGAAGCAAAGTACGGCCCGTCAACAGCTGGGGATGGAGAAAGGTAGGTGACGACAATATTTTATCAGGAATTTATACCATACTTTCTGCTTTGTTGTCCCACTAGCTGTGCTGCATGACTAACTCCGTAAGAATGATAGTAGGAAAATCACTGAATGCCACGCATTTGTTTGCCATTACTATGCCATGCATCGGAATGCGCACTGGATGGAGTGAAATTCTCAAAATTCGCTGTATTAGGACTGGAAACACCTGTAGACGCAATACATAATCAGGTCAGTGTTCGAACATAAATATGGTGACACCGCTGTTGTTTACAAATGGCAGCTGGTGGGTTGTACCAAGTGTTCAGTGTAACATATCGGGTTTGGCCAGGTGTCGGTGAATGCGCTGAACAACCTGGAGAAACCTGATGCATCCGCCTGCGATGGCGGAGGAAGCGGGTTTGACCTTCGCAGCCAATTGAAAGGGCTCACCAGGTACAAATTCCAAGGTTCCCGTTTCGTCCTAATTCCACCAATAGGGGACCCAGCTGTCAGGTCGCACCAATCGGTCGTTTTGGGCGGTCGGCTGCCACCGTCAAGTTTCTCCACAGCCACCTGAACCCAATTTCAGCCGTCAGTGCATTTTTCGCCCGCAATGGCCGTCCTTCAAATGCACATGTGAGGAGGGGACCTTTTTCCTCCCCGTACTTTTCGTCGCCCCGCCCGATTCATCCCTCCCGAATTGCTGCTGCACCAGCCTCGAGTCACTCACCACACACAGGAAATCAGCCACGATGTTGGACTTAGTTTCCAGAAACAACGTGTGATCAGTGATAAGTGATTGCCTCTTGAACAGTAGTGCTTCGTACTTTGTAGATCGTACTTTGTAGAAGGCGTAAGGGCCATAGCATCCCTGCGAGACTTCTTTCTGAGCTCTTCTGATCAATTTAGTATCGTTTTCGAGTCCCGTCAAATCCGCCATGTTGGAACGGCAAACTCATATTGTCAGGCACACGGCACTAGGCGTCTTCCTCCTCGTTGTATGCATCTCCAGAGTCGCGGCGTTGAGACGAGTGTTGAATGAGGCACCTCCCATCTTTGACGGCGCAACGGAGCTTCAAAAGGTTCGCGAGGCTCTTCGATCGGCGGGTTACACGGAATTCCTCGAACGGCTCAACAACCCTCGTGCGTTCCTTCACCTCCCGCAGATTTTTATTTCCAGACTGAGTTCCCATTTTTAAGCGATAACGTCCGCCTTGCACCCCTTATCCCCTCTTGTGTCCGTTTTCAGAGGTACTGAATGCAATTCGGCCCGCGCTGAATCACTATCAGCTCACCATATTCGCCGTACCGAACGACGCCATTCTCGGCGCGGCAAACGGCACCGCCGTCCCTCCCGGCTGCGCCCGTGCCGTGTCTGCCACGAGAAGATCGGGGTCTCCTTCGGACCTTATGAGCGCCAGCATGTCTTCGCACATCGTTCTCGGCCATTTCACAGCAGAGGACATTATTGACTCACCTGATGGCACGAAGGTAAGGAGTTTCGGCTGCATTGATAACGTTTGGCGAATATTGTATTCATGGTGGAGTTTCACGTCCGTTTGCGTGCTTTATGATTCGTGTGTTTGCAGTTCGGAGACATCAAAGGCTATGAATCAAATTATGTGAAGAAGTTTCACATAATTAGCAGGGACATCAAGGGCACTCTGAGAAAGCATGTCACGCTTACAAACCCTCATGCAGGCAGCAGACAAATTCCACTAATCTCCCATGATTTGTTTCTCGACCAACATGTGTCCATTCAAGGACTTGATGGCATTATGTGCGGACCAATTCCTCTAAGAAGCAGCTGAGAAGAAAATCTAGTCACTCTATATGGAAGTGACATGTACTAGCTATTAAGAATTATCATGTTCACATGAGTTATGTATGTTCTCTACCTTTTTATACTCGTGTATCATGTGAACAATAATTGTTAGGCTGCTACAATTTTATGAGTGTTTGGCACTGAACTATATAGCAAGCGACATTAACGTAAACGGAGTTACGGCGAACCTGGCTTGAAGAT